ATTGGATAAGAAACATCCCTAAATCCTCACGGCTAGTGTTGGTGAAATGGGATGAGATCGTCATGACCATCCAAGTTGGTTCTCTTAGAGATTATATTTCATTGCTTCGGGCCTTGCTCCTTAATTGAGGCTAGGCCACATAAAATTTCTCCCTTATTCATGCATCTGTCTTCCTTAGGATATTTCAGCATCCCCAAAATGAGAATATTTTTTGTCACCTTAGTTCCTTATGATGATGTTGATCTCATCCACAAAAATTTTAGTTTTCCAAAGCTGACTTCTTCACTCTAAGTAAGTTTTGCTCATTTTTTCATCTCAAATAAAGTCCAATAACCCTAACAAAACCCACTTCAGCTACCAGCAGATTCTTGACCTCTTGCTCCTTGCTCTTTCTTTCCTCTTCTTCCTTGGGTCTTTTAGACATAATCCCTGCACACAGATGTGTGGAGTAGCTGGACCTATTATATAGATTGTTGGTACATTTTGTGGATATGTTTTACATTTTGTCAGTCTACTACACTGGAATATCATTTTCACACTAATTTCATGAAAATCTCCAATTTTTATTGTCCCAACACAGGGAAGATATTTTCATCTGCATCTTAGATCTAAGGGCTAAATTTTATTGAGACTTCAATGGTTTTATGTAACTTTTGCATATGTAAAAAATTTAAAGAAGCAGTTTAATGACACTGTGAATCTACCCAGATATTCCTTACATTTTTTTCTTTGGAATTCAAATGAGTTTTAATGTAAACCTCATTATGTTAGTATCTCTTCTCTTAGGGAGCTCTTTTTTTTTTTTTTTTTTTTTAAATAACTAGGACAGAAAGAGCTCCAAGAATGGGGGAAAACAATGCAAATCTATTTCAGGATAGCATTTCAGAGAAGTTAGGTGTCTACTTGTAGTTCTCTGACATCCTCCAAAATTGAAGTTTCATCTTCAGTTGACCAGAAAGGAATTTAATTTTATTTCAGTAAAATTGACTTTTTAATTAGATTTTAGCACTTTTAATTAATGATGTACTGTGTAATTTCAAGTGGTAAGACCATCTAGTGTGCAACAAAAATAGCTCTTCTTTTGTCTGTTAAAGAAAATGAGCAAAAGTAGAGCATAAGGATCTGCAAACAAATGTTTGGACAGGCTCTAGTTGGAAACTAGCAAAAAGTTTAGGAGTCCTTCTAATGCAGAAATTGATTCTACTTGTCCCATTTCCAAGAGAATAACCATAAGCCAGGACAGTCTATCTGGCACTGCAATGACCACCTGCTTTGAAGCAGTGATTCCTATTCTTGTGGGTCCCCAGGCATTGTTATGGGTCCTCAAGTATTGTAAAAGCATTTTAGTGGTCTTAATTTTATTACTTTGTTGAATTCTTTTGACCAAAACTTTGGATTATTTACATTAGTTGCTTTTTAACCCTTTGTCCCTCTTGGACCACTTAAATAATAATAATAATAATAACCTTGCCTGGAAGGTTCCAGGCAAATGTATGTATATATGGACAATCCTATTTAGCATCATATTTCAGGATTTAAGAATTATTAAACTTATTCAAAGACTCATTAAAGTATTTGGAAGATCTCTATGGCAACCAATGTATTTCCATCAAATAAAGTGATACCATTCTCTTTAGACAAAATCTCTTGAAGAACATCGAGCTCTATTGTATCAAAAATTGTATGTATCAATGCATAAATACTGTACAGAATTTTGAGATATTCTTTGATTCTTATACCCTCAGATTTCATGGAATGTTGCTTACTACATTTAATAGATTTTCTTGTATTTTATGTTTAGTCAATCTTCATTCTGAGGATTTTAAAAAATTCTCTATTTTTCTAACCAATGTAAATGGATAAAAGATCTCAATCCTGATTTTTATAAAACTAATCAGATTAGTATAGTATCTACTGAACAGCTATTAAACAGTACTATAGTGAGGTGCAGACACTGATCATCTTTCATTACTAAACAGATGAATATCAAGAAACCACACTTAAAAACACTTTCAGAGCACACTTAAAGAAAAATCTCTTTTCAGAGCATAGATTCAGTCTATGACAGCCTCAAAAATGCTCATGTTCATTGCAGTAATCATGAATCTTCCTGATGGAAACCTAAAGGAACACTTGAATGGGTAAAGAGAAACTATGTCTGGGCTTAGAATAAGTAAATGAACAAAATAAACAAAATAAATGACATCAGGCACGTGTATAAAACTCACCAGACATACAACACCTGTACATAAAAAGATATAGAATTATACTAGTCCTGCAGCAGAGGCAGTATATCAATCTATATTTTAAAAATTAGACTGAATAATATCCAATTTTCTTTAATTTGAGTATCCTACTGATAGCATTATATATTCTTATGTTTTGAAAGTGATAAATCAAATATTTGTGTGTAATTTCCATTAACTTTTACCTACAGAAATCAGGGTATGTCTTCATGGTATTTCTGATATTCAACATCAAAAGTGTCCTTAGTGTTTAAATTCCTCTGCTTTTTGAAAAGACAGTCATGTTTCTGTTTAATATCTTTATTTAAGAGCTTTCACAGTTGCCACTAAATGTTTCAATATTTTTTGGTCCATAATTACATTTCTCGCCAAATTCGGAGATGTTAGTAGCTTTACACATTTTATAAAAATGCATTAAGAACTTTAAATTCTCTTAAAACAAGATATCACATATGTCAAAACATAATTCTCCAAATGTTAAACAGAATTCTCATAAACAGAGGCACATGTCAAGATTTCACTTGGACAGGTTAACGTAGCCAATTCACAAGAGAAGAACACCTACTTCTCTATCCATAGCTATCTCAATTACATATTTATAAATATAAATTTTGACATCAAAATTTATATTTGAATGAGGCCAGTGTTTCCTCTATCACTTGTTTAATGAACAGAACCCATTTTTGTTAAACATCTGTCATACCCAAGATTTTTCATGATAAGGTGAATCCCTTTGGTCCTTACAATTTTAGGCCCATGGTTCTTAGCCATCAGATTTATCCAAAGGGCTTTTTAAACCAAATTTCTGGGCTCCATCCCAGGGTTTCCATAGAGCTTGGGTTGGTGGGAACTTGAAGCCACAGTGCATGCTTGGAGAACCACTGAGGTGAGCCTGAGGATCAGCTGAGTAGCAGCATTAATTAAGCCCCAAGGAAGTCAGTGCGAGCTCTTCTTGGGTGCCTTGTTAATTCTCTGCTTTTCCTTTTGCTTCCCAAAGATCATCCATACCTGTGCTTCTATTACAGCATGTCCATTGCTGCCAGCATAGCTGCTTTCCAGGGTTTCTCCTATATCTCAGTATCTCAAGTCCTAGATAAGGCTCAAGTTCCAGCGCCCTTCCCCAGAGACCTGGCCTCTTTCACTTGCCCTGTTTCTGTCGGTTATTTCAGTTTCACTACGAGCCAGAACTAGAGCCCTCCAGATCACATATCATAAACTCCAAGGCACTTTCCCCGACCAGTTCTCATTGGCGAGCTCACTTAGTAGAAGATTTCAATTTTTTAAAGTTTGAAACCATATGGATATCATCCTTAAATTTTCAACCTGCCAGTTCCTTGTCTGTTCTTCTGCCCATGTTGCCTTGATTTCTTGAAAGGAGTAAAAACTTCAAAGATGCAAAAGAAATTTGGGGCCTGAATAATATTAACTCTGGGGAAAAACTGGTCCTGGTGATCTCTTGCAAGATTTGTAGCAGGCAGTCTTCTAGGAGTTGTGGTTGAGAAGTGGGTGCCTAGCAGTTGGAGGAAATCGCTAAGCGTGTGCTCCAAGAGTTTGCTGAGCAATGAAGGAGAGATTAAGGAAATTATCCAGAGACTTGATAGGCTCAGTCAAAGGTAATTGATCTTTTACAGAGAGGAAAGCAGTGCAAAGAGAATTTAAAACTTGAGGAATAGCTTTCAGGAACGTTGCAGAAACAAAGTTAGAAAGGACGAAGGAGGCTGATCTCTGGACTAAATAAAGTGGTTAGCTTTGGAAAGGACAGAAATATTTTAATGTAAGCCTAGAGGAAAGAATGAAGTTGCTTATATCAAGTGGTCTTGAGGTCAAATAAAAGAAGGAACATTGCAAGTCTTAGAAGTGAGAAACCTAGTGAATGCTAAGGGAGGTGAACACCTTGCTGGCCAGATCAGTGTAGGACAGAATAATTTTCACATGGGACAGCCTGCCACAACTTTTCCACCACATTGTACTCCAGTTTGGTGGAAATGGCTGAGGGTAGAGATGACCTCAACATCCAAGCCTGATTTTCTTTTTGTATACTAGATACTCCTCTAGTGCAAGGCGATTTGAAGGTCCCCATGGACGGTGTCTTGTGTTTCATACACACTACCCGTCCCATCTGACCAAGAGTTGGATTCTGTGTCATCATTTGGCCATGTTAGACCTATGCGAGGAGCTAAAATGTAAACCATAACCAGCTATCATTGGTTCCTTTTCTTCACAGAGGGAAGGAAAGAAATTCTCAAAAGGAAGTAAGCACCTCAAGTTAGATCCTTTATGAATATTTAATGTAACAACTGACAATTTCCTTGAAGTTTTTTTATGTGAGATTCAGTTTAAGAAATTCAAACTGGGTGTGGTGGCACATGCCTGTAATCCCAGCACTCGGGAGGCTGAGGCAAGAGGATCCATTGCAAGTTCGAGGCCAACCTGGGCTACAAAGTGAGCTCAAGGCCAGCCTGAACTTCATAGCAAGATCCTCCCTCTCTCTCTCTCTCTCTCTCTCTCTCTCTCTCTCACACACACACACACACACACACACACACATACACACACACACACACAAAGAAGTTCTCAGATAGTCTCAAAGCAGAGCTGTGTTTCTATTCCTAGTTGAATGTCTGTGGTCATTTTGCCAGTTCTTTGTTCAGGCCAGGGTGCTCACTCCTGGAAGTCGGTGTGGTAGACTGGAGGGCGGGAAGCCCAGGGGTCGTTCACGTGGAGACTCAAGAGCATGCGCATGTCTCTTTGCAGGACCATGAAACCTCCTTTCCCAGGGCGCTCTCAGCTCAGAGACTGTCCCCCCGCTGGTGCTTCCTAGATGGTGAGTGTGCCTGTACTGCCCTGGATGGGACGGGGCTGGGCAGCACCGGTAAGATTTGGATTGTAGAGTGCCTCTAGTATTCCCAAAGCCTTCCTGTGCCACTGCCTGATCAGAATTTGCCTCTCAAATCATGCAGACTTGCTGATGTCGCAGTTACCTTTCCTGAAGTCCTTTCCCTGGAAGCACACTGGTTAACTGCCTGAACTAAGTTCAGACTGCTCGCGCTGACATTTTCCTTTTATCATTCCCCCTTCCCTCAATCTGTCAAGAGCCAGTAGAGAGAGGCGATAAGCACAGATGGGCACCAATTCCTATGTGATTTGCATAGCCTGGAACTTTTTTCCTGTGAGACTGTCATTTCTGTATAATGTATAAATTTTTGTAAAAAGGATAAAAAATTTCAATTGCATTCAAATCTGCTCTGCAGAGCATGACATGTTGCATGCATAATGAGTGAGTTATTTTATGATTGCTTAATGAGTCCATTTGCCATCTCAAGTATCTCTTCACACTCCTGGATGCTGCCTGCTCCTAATTCTCTCTCTAATTACTGTATCCGTACATTCTCATCCCCGTACATTCTTGCTCATGTACCACCTAGGGTATTGGCCACACCCAGTCTCTCTGTCGTCTGTGTGGGGACTTGGTTTTCATGGTTTGTGTGTATGTGTGTGTATCTGAGAGGAGATACATGTGAGTATGAGTATCACAGCCCGTGTGAGTTGAACATGGTTATGAAGGTGTATATATATACAGTATAAGATTTTTGTATCCCACAAAACTCAGGATGCAAGCTATCATAGTGGCTCAGCAACCGCTTCTGAAGATTTCCTTCCTCCATAGCAAAGAGGATCGCAATGACTGGTTACTCCTGAATGCACAGTGGAGTATCTTCTATCTAAGAAAATTATGAAAATATTTATATAAGTTATTGTGCTCTCTATGTAGTCTTGGATAATGGTGTTCACTATGCTTTCATCACTGTCTCGTTGCTGAGACACAATCCGGACACCCACAAGTAGAAGGAGAAAGAATCTATTTTAACTCACACTTTAGAAGTGCCAGTGCTTGCATGGTCAGTAGGCTCCAAGGCAAGATGGCATGGCAGAGGGCAGTGTCATGAGTAGAGGGCTTGTAGGGAGGAGCCTAAGAGGCGGAGAACCCTTCCAAGCCACGCCCCCAGCGACCCACCTCTTCCTACCAGCCCCCACCCCTTAACTTCACTATCACTCACTCATAATCCAGTCACGTTCCAAAATCCCCACCTATGAAAGCATGCGATTCTTACAGGACCTCTAGGTATAAATGATAATAACCCAGATATTACACTATAAAGGGTTTCACTGAATACTTTTGAATGGTAAAGCCATGGTTGAATAGAACAGAGTACAGTAAGCCCTTATGGGGCAGATTTTACATTAGTTTTACATTTTAAAAAGCAAAGACTCTCACTGTGTTGTTTTTTACTGGGTTTTCTTTGGACAAAAGCCACTCTTCAAACATTTATGATTTTTAAAGGATTATTTGTATTTTGAGTTTTTCTCTCGTGTTCTGTTTTGATAAAAAAAAAAAGCCTACCTGCAAGATTTGTACTCTGTTAGGTATGAGTTGTGAGCAACGTAATTGTTTTTATATTAAAAATAATTGATATAATTTCTGAACTCCTAACATTTGTACTTCAGAATTTATTTTCAAACCACCTGTGCAACTCAATCTTTTTTAAGAGAATGCTTAAATAATATTTTTTCTTCTGTATTTTGGATTCCCTCAGATATGCATCTAGGAATGTTATGTGAATGTGAAATGATTCTTTCAGTCCAGATTTGGTGCCTGGCCTGCATCTTCAAGCTGTTTTCAAAAACGGAAGTCACTTCCCTGGAAGTTTAACTCCAGTTTTTTTTTTTTTTTTTTTTTTTTTTCCTACCTTTCTTAACATAATAAAACTTGAGTGGCAATTCTAGTTAGGTCCTGCAGATTCCTGATGATGTAAATAAATAAATAAATAAATAAATAAATAAACAGTCTGTTAGAGAGTCAGTCCTTTAATGCCCCTCCTCTAAAGAGTTAGGTCAGGTCTCTGTCTCAGTTTTCTGTGAAGATAAGTCTCTCTGTGAGAATTTTTAAACAAAATATAAATTTGCATCGACGTAGGAGCAATGCATTCTGGGATAGGGATTAGCACGGAGATGGAAGAGTTTGAGGTGGTTCTTAAGAACCTAGTAAGGTCTTGATGGCAGATGTGATGGACTTTTACACATTGAGAGAACAGCATGGGAGACCGAGTAGATTCAGGTCGCCTAGCATGAGTGGAACATGCGAGTTTTAGGCACAGTGGAAGGGAGGGCTGTAAACCTGGTGACAGATCAGAAGGCTCAACACCACGTGCACTTTTGTTTTTTCCTAGCGACTTCTGCAGACCGCTTTTATCGAATAGACAGATCTCAGGTAAGTTTTCTTCAGCCTGCTTATGAAAGTGAAAAATTCCTAGGTCGGATTACTATATTAATAGCTAATTTCATATATTTTTCTAAAAACACATTTTGGAATGGCATTCAGAATTCCAGCCGTGAACCTTTCTATCTTCATGTGTTTTATGGTTCATGGACTCCAGGGCAGCTCTTGACCCTGCAAATGACTTCAGATAATAACTTGACCTGTAAACATAGTCACTAGCCTGCCCTTCACATTTCATACTGATGTGTGCTTTTATTTCTGCCACATCAGATTTTACTCCTTTTGAGCTCATTTCTGGGTAACCAGTTTGAGACCCTAGGTGTTTAGGTAGGCTATTTAGTTTCAGTTCATGAAACCTAGACTTCAATAATGAGGAATAAAATGCTTTTGCTCAAGGTTAACAAGTTGTCCCACTGTGGGAATTCTTCTGGAGTAAAATGTAAAATTCAATATTAAGCCCAGTGATAAAATCAATCATCCCTCAAGCCATTTAGCTTTCAGCACATACTTAGGGTGGAAATCCAAGCTGCCATACACTCACACTGGACCTAGTGGCATGTAAGTTGTCTCTTCCTCTTCTTCCTCCTCCTCCTCCTCTTCCTCCTCCTCCTTCTTTCCCATGGTGCTTCTCATTTAAATCCAGGGTCTTCACACTGAGCTACATTTCCAATCCTTTTTAGTTTTTATTTTAAGACAGAGTCTCCTTAAGTCACTAGCTGGCTCAAACTTGTGATCCTCCTGTCTCAGCTTCCCAGAGTGCTGGGATTCCAGGCATGTGCCATCACTCCTGGCTGGGAGTCACTTCTTTGATAGTATTTGGGAAGAGGTGAGGTCATTTCCAGGTACACCTACCAAGAGTCCAGTCATTTGGAAATTCTGAACAAGGAATCCAACTCTCCCCACTGCCCTGCAGTGTTGTTTCAGGAAGGGACATCAATTGCTCAGGCCTTAAAGAAAGCACTATGACGTTGTGACACAGAATTTCATTGTACCTCAAGACCAAGGTGCAATGTTTATTATTCTGTTTATTTATCCTTTGGATGATGGATTTGAGTGTCCTGTCATTCATCTGACAGACTCACTTTTCTTCCCCAGGAACATTTGCACTTTGTGATGGAGATTTCCCAAGATGAGATTTTTATTCTTGACCCAGATATGGTGGTGTCCCAGCAGGCGGGGACACCCCCAGGCATGCCTGACCTGGTGGTGGAGCAGGCTTCAGGGTGAGTGTACGTGCGTCTCTTTGGTTGGCTCTGGCAACAGGCTGACCACAGGTGACCTCCATGTCTGCTCTGGCTTTGAATTTGACATTCTAACAGCAGCTAAGTGTGTTGTAGTACAGATTTGCATGTGTTTCCTTCCATTGAGGTGCAGCTGGACCTGTTGCTAAGCTGTCTGTGAATGGCTGTGTGTAAAGAGCTTATGCCCAATGAGGCTGAAATCATGTCAGAGACTTTGTACCCAGTACACCAGCACTTCCTACCAAACCAAGAAAATACAAGTGTTTGCTTTGGTGCATATGTTTGTTTTATTTTGTCTGTTACCCAAATACAAAATTGACACACATTGTTTGACAGTTATTCTCCTCTTCCTCCTATCTTCTTCCTCACTGTTTCAGATGCCTGAGACATACAGATTGCATTATAGTAATAACTACACCATATCAAGCTCTTATGAAGAGCCATGAATAGGCCAGTTTTGTATTCCTTCTGCCACATCACAATGACTTAATCATTTTAAGTGCTCTGGGCTTGTTTTCTCACCTGTGAAAGGTGATAATAATGATACCCAGTCAGAGAATTGTTAGAAGAGTCAAAGAATAGTTATAGGTAAAACAACTAAAATAGTTTCTGGCACTTGGTGGACACCTAAGCGTTATGTTATTAAAATCATTATCATTGTCATTTCACAATGACCTTGAAAATTTTGTTCTTCTTAATTGATTAATTAATTAAATTAATTGATTAATTAATTAAATTCTTCTTAATTAATCAATCAATTAATTTATTTTTTGAGACAGGTTCTCGCTATGCAGTTCAGGCTGGTCTTGAACTCATTATTTAGGCCAGACTGGCCTCAAACTCATGGCGATCCTCCTGCCTCAGCCTCCTGAGTGCTAGGATTACAGGCCTGAGCCACAATACCTGGCAAAAGTTTTGTTCTATGAGTATCTTAACTCCTTAGATAAGAAAATTGAGGCTTCAGATGTTACATGACTTGTATAATATTGCACAGAAAATAAATGAAAAAATGAGATTTCTGATGCCAGAGCCCATGCATTTAACCACCACTCTGCACCATCAAAATATTGTTAATATTTCTAGGTTCTTTCAGAATTGTTTGACAATTCAAAAATATTTGGAGGTTTGTGTGTATTGGAAACATAAAAACAGACAAAAATCTCTGCCTCTGTGAAGTGTGATGAATTTCAGAGGCTTTTCTGATATAGGAAGGTTGAGAACACAGTAAGAATTGCCCCAGAAAGGACACACAGGCCTCACACAGCACACACGAATCATGGACACACACGGCCTAAGTGAACATGTTCACCCAGGGTTACCCTTCTCCCTGTCTACCCCCTGCACTTGGTTCACTTCTCAGTGTTTTGCCCATTGCTGCTATTTTTGAGGATCTCCCTCTCCACCCAGGCCACCTCATATCCCGGGTGTGAGCTGGGCTGAGCGGACAGGCTGCTCTGAGCTGGCAGAAGGGCAAGGGTGGGGCACATACAGAGCTGTATTTGGGAAGCCAGCGCCAGTGATGTCAGAGCTGTGTGGTGTGAGGGAGAGGCGGACAGGCAGAAGTGGTGGCCCAGTAGAACCTTGAGGTCCCAGAGTCCGTCCTCACAGACCTTGGTTCTGCCTCAACCTGTGGAGCTGTGGGGCGGCAGCTGTTGGGGGCAGCTGTGGTGGTGCTGCATCTTGCTACTGAAGTGGAGGCACCACTTTGTCCTTGGTTGGACCTCTGACAGCTCAGCTCAGCTCCAAATGTAAAGTAGCCTGGAGAGCCACTGGAAGGTGGAGCCATCCCTTTCTGCTTCCTCATTAGTTGCTCACACTGGAAATAAGCTAAGAACAGGGGAGCGTAAAAGCTCTATTCTGACCTTCGTTTCTGTACCTGAGTCCATTGCTTCTTATTCATGTCATTCAGTTTCCTCGTCTGTAAAATGAGCAAAATCATACAATTAATTCTTGACTGTTGAGAAAATTGCATGAAACAGTAAATATGAAGTAAATCCTCAGTGAAGATGGATTTCCTTCTCACATCTAGAGAAAAGGATCATCCTGAGGAAGAACGGGACGCCTCATGTGCTTGCTATGAACACTTAACTGCCTGCGGCCTTCCTTCCTCCAGGCTGGCAGACTGGTGGACTCCTGCCCTGCGGAAGCGCATGCTGAGTGACAGTGGCCTGGGAATGATAACTCCCCACTATGATGACGCAGATATGAAAGATTTCAGCCACTCCCGTGTGCTACAGTGAGTGTCTGGCTATCTTACTTTGTGCCACTGTGATTGCCGGGGGAGGATTTGTACCACGGGCTGCTCACTGATAGGACAGACCCTCTGCAGGGTCCTCAAGCTGTCTCACTTCTGTGTCACCCTGGGGTTTGATGTTCTGTTCTCCTTGCTCAATTTTATCTGCCCTTGGCTCCTGATGCAACACCATCATCCCCTGAGCTACCTTGGAGACTTTGCACATGGATCTAGAAATAGTTTAACTTCACCAGTGTTCTTCTTATTCTTTTTGTTTTCCACTGGCGTCCCATATTTATCCTGTGTCCTTACTTGCTATGTCATGAAAACGTGAATGAGATAATTGTGAGAACTTTGGAAGTGACACAGGCTTCCACTTGTGTCACCATTTTGCTTTGCTATTTCTCTTGTCTGTAGTCCAGAGCCTGTGCATATGCGATCTGTATAATTGCACCAAGTAGCTCGTTGGTCAAAGTACGTTCTGCTTGTGTGCGGCTGTAGTCTCTGTGAGTAAACAAATACAGAATTTGTTCATAGATCAGAACAAGGGAAGTGTTTTCCTCTCAGCTCTGGTCAGGTTGGAAAGTAGGATGCAAGGTGGAGTTTTACAGTAGTGCTGGCCCCTTCTTTGTCTTTTTTTTTTTGGCTTTTTTCCGGTACCAGAAATCGAACCCATGATCTTGCGCTTGCCAGGCAGGTGCTGTGCCGCTGAGCTAAATCCCCAGCCCCCCTTGTTTGTCTTGAATCCCTCCTTTGCCCTCTCTCTCTGCAAGAGCAGGCTGTGGAGTGCAGCTGGTGGTCATGGACACACTTCTTACACCCTTTTTACATTGACCAATCGTCCCATCTCAGAAGCTATATATTCACTGTAACCCCTGAAATCAGGCTAGTTTTCATAGTGGAATATTATTTCAATTCAGTTTTCTCTCTCAAGTCACAATAAAATAGTGCCAATGGCCTTGTAACACACAGTCTTACCTTTTGACAGAGTAGCAAGATAACTGAAATGCTCAGAAGCCCTGGGTTCACGGAAGAAGCAAAATAGCGCATTGTTTCTTAAAGACGACCAGAAGCAATTTGGTACAACAAAGGGGAGAAAAATGAGAAATCTGAGGCTAATTATTTCATTGGGAAAGGTTGTCCTCAGACACTTGGAGGGCAAAAGGAGACTTCATTTTAATTACTTCTCTGTATTACCTCTTACTTTCTTATGTGAAGAGGAGAACAGAAAAAAAAAATGAATTACGGTGGATTTTCTTTTTTTAATTAAACTGTGTTAGTTTCTGGTGGCATTTTGATTGCTTACAACTCAGAGTGTTTTTCCATTTCCTTTTTGTACAGAATTGGGGCTTGTAAAGCAGATGAGTCAGCCACCCATGAATGGCTAAAAAAGTGGTCATCTGTCTGTGGGCAGACTTATTGGAAAATTAGAGTTTTAATTAGCTGCAGAAATAGAAATTAAGCCTACTCAGTCCAGCTGAGTGGTTTAGTATGCAGGCAATTTTGAAAAAGTGGAATATTATCTCAATTCAGTTTTCTATGCCTTGATTTTTCTGTATAAAGCATATTGATGTATACCATGATATTTAAAGTGATTGTTTGTAAGGTGGTATTTTGCCCAAGAATCACAAATAAATGTACCACTTTATGTAGTAGCCAAGTTCTTAAAATTCAGAGTCTAAGTCAACTCTTATTTTTATTTAGGCTATGTGATCATCCCTCAGTATCTTTGGGGGTTGTGATTCCAGGACCCACTGCAGATACCAAAATCTTTGGTGGTTCAGATTCCACACATAAAATGGTGCAGTATTTGCACAGCTTATGTACACTACCTAGTACAATGAAATACCGTACACATTGTTTAGGGAATAGTGACAAAAATAACTGTCCACGGTCAGCACAGAAACAATTTTTAAGAATATCTTTGATCTTCACTTGGCTGAATCCATCGATTGATCTGCAGATACAGAGAGCCCACCGTGTTGTTTTTTGAGGATTCCTTCTAATTCCGGTTGGTCTTCAGTTGGCAACTATCAGTTTTCCAGTCAGAATACACTAAAGTATTTGATTCTTGACGCACCCCCAGGCTTTGAGTCTCCCGGCTGGACCCGAGATGCCTGAGATCAGAGGCAAGTCATCCCCAGTGGGGTCTGATTCCTTCAAGAGCCCTGCACAAAGAAAGAATTGTCTTAAGTCATTTTAAAAATAAACAAAAGAAATGCCAGAACTAAATTAAATACCTTACCTCACCTTAGAGTTAGTTATCATATCATCATTATTATTGATTATTACTATTATTACTGCTCTTCATTCCTTAGGAAGAGCATCATTTTATTTCATCCGGAGGTTATCTCTGCTGCAAATAGGTATAATTGGAGCTATGGAAATACCTAGTAATGTAGGGATAGTTACTATTGATAGAACATTTCCTATTTTCCTTGAATCATAATATATATCTTTAGTTCTTTCAATAGCCTTTAAAGTTAACCATTTCTTAACAGATAAGTAAACTGAGGCTATGTTTTAGAAATTTCCATTTCATTCAGTATCATATTTCTTAAAATTCATTCATAATGATATATGCAGGCTTTAAATAATTTCATTTGTTACAGAGGTTTTTCCAGGAGAAATACTTACAAATCACCACGTGAAATGGCTGTGGTGGCCCTGGATTGTCATTACAGTGTGTCTGTAATTGGAAGGCTGAGGCAGCAAGATCACGGGTTGTTTGAGGCCTTCTGAGGCTATTAGTGAATTCAAAGTCTACCTGAGTTAAGTAGAGAAACCCTGTTTCAAAAAAATTAAGAAAAAAACAAATCAGTACATAAAAAGAGCCTGAAGAATTAGTATAACACAACTGGCATTTGTTGCTTTCAGCTTTAAAATTTCAATGAACTCTGAGATAGGAATGGTTCAATTTCAATATCGTATTGACAGTACTAATTAACCCACTAAGAAGAAATCAAAGGGAAACCAAAAATCTTAGAACTGAAAACATTACCGGAGTTTTCAGAATGTTTTTAAAATATCATTCATAAAATGATTTATAAGTTTAAATTCACTTATCAAGGAAAAATCATTGCATGCAAATAATCAAAACCTTCAGTTTGATAGAAAAGTCTCAGTAAAGAATACAGGAATGGAGGAAAGTAATGAAGAGTGAAATCAATCTCAAGGAGAAAAACAAAATAAATAACCAGGAATTTTTTTAAAAATTAATTCTTTTGGAAGATAAATAAGGTGGATAAAATTCCAAGACTTAATTTTTTCAACATGGTATGGAAAACAAAGGAAGACATATAGTGCTTTCTTTCACTGGTTCGCTCTTCTGCCAGGGAGCAGAGGCCACCCTCTGCCATCCAAGTGCTAACAAACCTGACCGCCTTGAGTCTTCCGGGGCTTTTCCTAGTTTTAGCAGTTGGTTTCTTAAAAGTATCCAACCCCTTCCTTTAGGAAGAGTGAGGAAGAATGAACCAACAGGGTGAAGAATATGGATGGATTATATTTCTATCATTATAGTACCAATTGCATTTCTGTTGCCTCTATTTAGAACATTATAATTTTAAACAAAATAAGCACATGGCCAGTTATGCATGGGTCCTCCAGGAGAAGCTGTGATCAAAGAATGTTGCAGAGCACATCTGGTGTCTTCGGAGCCTGTGAATATAGTAAAGGACTTGTTCTTCCTTAGTGGGGATTAAGCCGAAGGCCTTCACACTGAGCTACATCGTCAGCCCTTTTTTATTTTTTATTTTAAGATGGGGGTCTCATTAAGTTGCCCAGCCTGGGCTTGAACTTTCAATCCTCCTCCCTCAAGCTCTCAAAGTGGTGGGATTTCAGGAAGGTGCTATTGGACCCAGTTCAGGACAACCTTTTAAGAACTAGTTTTGAAAAGAATTAATGAGGAGTGGTTGGCTGCCATGGTACTGTCAGGACCATAATGAATTCAGGTTTTTAAAAATGTGCTCAGTGTCTAAGAAAGTTCTACTTAAAATACTACGACTCTGGAAATACATTCTTATCTGTAACTGTACCAACTCTATTTGTGACAAGATTATATTTCATTTTGGCAGAGGACTAACAAGGAGGAAATCAACTTAAATTTTAGTAGGCAGAATCTGTATCCCAAGGGAGAGCGTTATGGTCTTCTGTAACTTTAGGGTTATGAGAGAGGAAAATAAGCACTGCAGGAACATTGTGCTGTCTTCTTTCTGAACGCTCTTTGAGAAAAGGGCATTCTCACCTGTGAGTCAAATGGATCAAAAAAAGACAAGTAAAGGACTGGGAGATATTCCAATTCTTAGATGCTGCAGTTTATTCACGGACAGATATGCACTTTTTCTCATCACCTTAAATCCTAAGCCTAGAAAAACTAAAATGAAGGATTAACGCATAGGTCACAATGGAATATTTTGCCCCTGAACTAAGACACTGGGACACAGCGGAGTGAACGACTTGGGGGCAGATATTCAATCCAGTCACCCATGATTATGCAGGTATCCACTACCTGGCCAGCTGAACAGAGCTACTGGCCTCTGGTGATTGGCAGAATCTTTCTTTCTCAAATAATAGACAATATTTTCCAAGACTGAATTGTAATGAGTTAAGTCTGATGCTTTTTTTTTTAATTCTAAGAAACAGAATCAATTAATCAGTTTATTCAGTTATTTATGGAACACATCAGTATTGGGCATCTCAGTATCTATAACTAGTTGCTGAAGGTATAAATCTATATAAGTCAGTTCTGGCCCTTGAAGAACTTATGCAAAGAGGAAACTTCATGTAAACCAATTATTGAAGTTCACACAGATAAGTGCTATAATGGGTATATGCAGAAAGTACTCTGGAAACAAAACAAAGTAGAGGTTGCTATTTCCTTTAGAGCTCATGTTTTAATTTTTATCTGGAAAGGATGAGTAGAGAATGAATGAGGACTGGGGATGTAGCTCAGTGGTATAAGCATCTGCCTGGCAAGTGGAAGGTCTTGAGTTCATTTCCCGGTAAAACAAAACAAAAACAAAAACAAAAACAAAAAAAAGAACTGAGAATGAGTGAAAATAGCCTCAAAGTAAAAAAATTGGCTTTTTAAGGGTTTTATGCATATTTTATTTAATCATTATACAGGAGTAAAGAAGTATCTATTTTCCCTCATTATATAACCAGAAATGTCCCTCAGACAGTTGAAAACTCTGAATGGTCATTTAGCACCGCTCTACATGAAGTGTGCTTAACAAAACACATGCGACTAGAAAGTGTTTGGGGATATCTAAAGCACCTAATAATACTTTAAATTGAAAGCCTGGTCTTTTTAATGTACTCTACAATTTTTAACCTCTGGATCAAGAAGACAGCCCTGCCAACCCCCTCTTCTGAAAACTCAGATGTTCTGGCTGAGTGTGCAGAAATAGCTTCATTTCCCTTTAGTCTTTCCCAATTTCTTCTGGGAACATTAGGTTATGACCCAGCCCCGAGAAGAAGGATAATTGTGCTTATTGTCAAAGCTCCCTGCGTTACCAGGAAGCCGGATGATCGGGTGCTGCTTTGGGTTGTGAAGGTATCCTCTGAGCATCGCAATCAGATAAGAGGGGCAGAGTCAATCTTCTCAGAGGGGTGCAGCTTGTGCCGGCATATGTCTTAGAGATGAAATCAGTGCTGTCAGAACAGAGAGAGTTCCTGGCATCTGTTTCACCAAGATAGTTGGGTCTCCTCCCTGCTTACCTTGGACTGGTCTAAATCTTGCTCGTCCTAGACGATCAGTCCAAATGGAAAAAAATGCAGCTTAGCCAACATATATCTTCCTTTCTTCTACTTTTTCTCTTTTCCTTACCTCAAGTGTTATCCCTTGTATTTAGCCAAACACACAATAATTCCCTGTCCCTATGTATGTGCAAAAACAGGAAAATATCTTGCTCTGTGCTTTTTCTAATTGTTCCTTAAACAGTCATACATATGGAGACCCTGAGTCACTTGGGAAAGGGAGTCACATTTTTACTTCCAAGATCAGTTAGTGGAACAGCCAGAATAGAATTTCATAGGCATCAGATCTTATTTTGACTGACATGGAAAGGGGAAAATTACTTGCTAGGATAAATGTGCTTTAATATTAAACATGCACTTTTATTTAAAATGATGCCAGCAAATTCTTGCCTTCTACATTTATGAGTTCCAAGTTTTGCCAATGATTACAGCCCTGGGAAATATTATTACTAATAAGTGGCTCTTTTTTTTTCTTTTTTTGTAAAACTTGCCAACCTTATCTTCTTACACATGAGGGATATTGGGTTGCTGAGGGAAAGCTGCTTGGAGCCTTCTTCAAGGTATGTGAGCTCCTTGCACAGCCAAACCACGCTACTCACTCTGTCTGTATAGCACACTGCACTCCTCCTTCTAGAGCTGGCTGGCACTCAGTGAGCTTTCTGGATGGTTCGAGGAATGTTAGCTCTTGGTAAAAGCTTCTCTACCAAACCAAAATAGATAGGTGCCTATTTATACTACTACCATAAGCCCAGTATTAATCATATAGCAATATGTAAAGTGTTGAGTATTTTTGTTAGGTTGGTAAAACGGTATCCATTTTTATATTTCTTTCTTTCATAGGGATATATTTTTCCCAAGATCAGATGTCACAATAATAAAAATGCATTTGCCTTCTTGATTTGGGGAGATGCTGGTATTTCACAAGTGCAGAAGTAGACAATAACTCTGGTGGGTACAGAAAGTTACATGCACTGTTGATGAGCTCTATGATCAGGGACAGTGGCCAGGAAGGGTCCTTTTAAGAACCCAGTGCTGTGTGATGCTTCCATGTGAAACCCTGGTGCTTTTAGTTGCTACAGCACAGTTGGAGAACTTTGGACTTTCTGTAATGGAGAGGGAGATGATTTGGCACATGGGAAATCATAAACTATCACAAGTTTCTGCATGGCATAGAATTTGGGGCTTCCCAGGGATTCCCAACAAAGGGGACTAAGGTAGAGCCAGAACAATAGGAAGAATAGGGCAAATATATGCAGAAAACCTGCCTCTTCTTGAGCTAGCAAGCAGGCTGGGAATACAGGGGCTCTCAGGGAGAGAACAGAATTTCTTTTAAAAGCAAAACAAAAGAGTTCTCTCTCCTGCCAAGAACAGATTCTGCATAGGGCATTAAAGGAAAGAAAGCTGGTAAGAAGGTCGCAGAACCTTTCATGACAAAGTCACTTTCGCATCATCTAAACCCGGGAAAATGAATCCATGTCCCACTGCACTCCAGAGTTGGGATGCTGCTGGACTGGTATGAAACTAGCTGTGTGCAGAGGCTGTACTGGAAGTGGGGAGTGCTGCACTCAGCCCGTCTCAGGTCCTGGGAGCAGCTCTGTGCTGGGGTCAGTTCCCACATCATCCATTTTTGTACAGTTGGTCCCCTTTTCCCTAATCCAATCGCTAGTTCTTCCTGAAGGCTCTACTAGTGACAGCCTGGCACTGACTCATCCGTTTGATAAATGGGTTGAGATAGAGGGGAGGATGGATGGTATCCAAGCTGCAAGTGGACATTGATGCACGGGATGCTAGTTCTATAACATGATGGTGCTTTTCTCCTCCAGGACCTCCAGCTAAGTATGGAGGTGAAAATTTAGTCAGGAGTAATAATTGCAGGAGTACTCTGGGGAAATGTCCATGCTATCAGACAAGTGGGCATGGTTTCCAAGGAGTCCAACAGTGACTTTTTTCCTCCTTTTATGAAAGGGGGCTTGGGGGCTGGGGATTTTGCTCAGTGGCACAGCGCCTGCCTGGCAAGTGCAAGGTCGTGAGTTCGATTCCCAGTACCGGAAAAACAAACAAACAAACAAACAAAAAAAAAATTAAAGGGAGCAAATGCCTAGGGTGAAGTCGACTGTCAGGTTGTTCTTCCTCAGAGCTTCCACCCTGCCAAGTCACTGGGCTTCCACAGCAGGTGTGGGCAATAGGAGGACATGTAGGACGTGCCTGCCAGGGTGGATAATAAAGATTTGGTTTAGATTCTGACAACCAGAGGCCATAGTTTATACTGAGTGTAACCAGGGCACCTCTCCCAGTAATCACCTAGCATCTTTGGGCGTGGGGTCAGGAGTGTGAGGGGCCCACAAACTGCCCCTGCACGTGTGGTGGCAGGGTTTTAGGGAGTGAGGAACTTCTTTGAAGTACCTCTGGGACCACCTGAGTCCACATCTCTGAGGAGACTAGGACAAAACATGTCTCTACAACACAGAGAAATCAGGGAGACGGAAACCACAATTTCATTTTTTCTAACTTCTTTGGATCTTGTGCTAATCATTGCACATAATCACAACAGTAACATCTGAGTTTTCTCCAGTTCTCTCTTTGATGACAGTGTCACCCTGTAACTACCTTAAAGTTCTCTGAAAGAGGGGATGAAATGCTGCCAGTGAAACGTCTCCTACATCTGCTGAATGAAGTTAAGCTCATGGCAGTGGTTAATATTCAAACATTGAATTAATGGAGTTCAGCTTGGAGGTGGCATCTGTGAAAACACATTTATTGCTTGTCCTCTGCGTCACTGTGATTTGTGTGTGTGTGTGTGTGTGTGTGTGTGTGTGTGTTTCCTTATTTTCTCACAGACTTCCTGCGCTGTTTAGGGTTGGTTGTGATGTGTTACCGAGAAGCTCTCCTTTCCATAAACACAGACGAGCTGGGCAGAGGCAGACACTTTTTAGACCCTGTTTCCCACCGCAGTGTCTTGAACAGGAGCACTGTCTCCTGAGAAGTGTACAAGGAGGAAGGAGATGCCAACAAGAAAACTTCTGGGACATTGCAGTTGTTTTTAGGAGGAATACCCAAACACCGTTCCGCTCCTTCTATTTTTCTTTCATTTTCTAAAACTAGGTTCTGAGTCCTTATTGGGATTTCAGAAAGCAAGCCAGTGTGCCTGAGCCCTCGCTCCATTACCATGGTACCCCAGAGCCGATCCTGAGGGTCCTGAGCTGAATGTGAGATGGGCTTTCTCAGAAGCTTCTCATGCTAACACTGCATGCGGCGCTCACGTGACTCGTCGACTCCATCCGGAGCTCCTTGCTTAAAAGAGAATGCGCATTCACAAAGTCCAAATGGATTATATCTCAGTGGGGGCTTTTGGTCAGGGCTCCGGAGTCCCTAGGGTAAAGCTAGGGGCTCAGTTTCTCCGAAAGATACTCCTACTGTGGGAAGGTCTCTGTGGGTTGGCTTTTAGAAGAATATGCCTTTTCTCTTCCTTTCCTCGCCTTCAGACTGGCAAATATACTGCAAAGGCTGATTTCTAAAGTGGAGCCTCACATCTTTTATTGAGCTCTGCCTGTGCCGTGCTTAAAAACTTCTTTCATTCCATGTTCAAAATGCTAATATGTGGCATCATTGTTCCAGATTATCATATTGAGTAAGCCAGTTAAGTCCTCGTTTCTTCGACCCCACCTCATTTCTCTGGCCACTGCTCGCTTTTCCCCACTTCCCCTGGTGTCTCATAGATTTCAAAGAAATTCCTTTCTCCTCATTTTGTTGGAGTTCGTGGGAACTAACAGTAGGTGGCAGTAAAGCGTCAAACTCAAAGGGCTTTTAGGGGCTCTCTCAGCAAGCCGAGTAAGAAAAGTATTTGGGAGAAATCAGACTGTACAAGCTAATGATCAAACAGTGCTATTTTCTGAAAGGCAAAATATATGTAGATAGAAGAGGCCCTTTAAAAAATAAACAGTGTATTTTAAGCCCAGTTCACAGGAGGATCATCAGTGTATGCATTTAGGCAGGAGAATCTTAAAGACTAGGAAGGAAGGAGAAGGAAGAGAATTGATAGAAATTTATCTCAAATGAAGGGCTCACCAAAGCAGCCCTCTGCTGTATGTTCAGGGATTTATTTCCTTACCTCCTCCCAAATGCCCATCTCTGCCTCTTTCCTTGCAGCTCCTCCCTGCCATATCCTCCCTGCTGTTGGTGGTGATATTACCTTTCAGGCTGGCAGCCCCGAATGGATTGGTGACCACGTGACTAGAGAGCGTGCTTGTCTTTCTCTCCTCTCAATGCCGCTCTGTGTGGCTGCTGCAACTTTCATCTCACTCACTCTTTCTCGCTTGCTCTCTTTCACTGTACATGCTTTGTTCATTGTCTTAAGAGATATTCACAATCAGAGGCAGCAGAAACAAAGAGGATTATTTAGTGGACGGGGAGTCTCAGTGCCAAGGGAATCCTGGTTCTGTTTTACCTCATTAGAGATACTTTGGGTCCACAGTGATGGTAGCGAGGATGTCACTTAGATCCAAGGTCTTGCAATTTCTCCTTCCAGCTCTCAGAAGGATGAGGAGGCCTGGGACCAAACAGTACTTGCCGTTGAGTGAAGTGTGAGCAAGGAAAGCTAGTGCTCAGAGATCCTATCTCTAGCTCTGCTTCCCAAGCACGTTAAATCACCCCCAGGCTCATATGATTTCAGTGAACACTCCTGTCCCTCAGCAGTGTCCGGCCCAGGCTGAATTTGAGGAGCATTACTTCGTCAAGGTAGAGAGAAGAAAAACAAAGCAGTGATACAGATTCGACAGCAGTGATACAGATTCCGGAAATGTGTCTGGAAAGGGTGCCCATTAGGAAATAGGTTTTCACTTGGAACTTCTCAGGGAGTTCACAGAGAACCAACAAATGTCTTAGGCTAGGAGCAGGGTGACCAGCCTGTGGTGAGAGTGTTCCTCTTACCACAGGAGCAAGAGTGTTAGCACATAAGGGGGCAGTTGTTTTACTACAAGAAGACTGGAGTCCACCAGGGTGTGAAAAATCTAGATGTGAAGACCCTAGGGAACTCTCAGAGGTGTAGTACAGAGAGGGAAAAAGAAATAGAATAAAAATGACAGAAGGGAGAAGGAAAGAACGTTCACAGTTGGTAT